CCGCACGATACACAGGAATGGAGGAAGACTAGTTGCTTGCTGGCCACTTGCTACCATGATCCATCGTGTTCCCGGAAGCTGCGTCTGAGCTTTTGGCTGCTTTGCGCGATTTTCAGATTTTTCCCTGGTCAAGCGCGCGCGCCAGCCTCCACGCTTCCACGCTTCCACGCTACTTATAATCAGCACCGTCGCGCCTCCCCCCCAAGAACCTTTTCACAGAGAAGGTCTTGCTCGCAGTTACTTTTTGTGAGCTTGCTGACCCCACCACTGCCACCCTCTCTCCCCCCTTCCCTCCACCCCCCTCCCCAACTGGTCTCTGGGAGCCTTCTCTGTGCATGAGTTTCTCGACATAGTAATACGAACCGACTCTCTTCCCCTCCACAGCATTCTTTAATCGCGATGGCGCCCAACGACGATGTCGAGCGGCCGCGTGCCAGCTCTGCCGCTGAGCGGCAAAAATCAATCGTCTCCATGACCGAGTTCGAGGGCATGGACGAGTACACTGCCCTGCAAAAGTACATCCTTTTCTACCGCGACGCGAGGACGAACCCGCACGCAGAGAAGACGATCAAGAAGAAGGCCTGGTGGCAGTTCTGGAAGTCTGGCTCTGCGACGGCTGCTGTTCCTGCCGCCGACCCCGGCGCTGTTCCTGACGAGTGTAAGTCTCTTTCCTTCGTTCAATTCCATCCCATTTCGAATCAACAATGGCTTGCGCCTGCGATGGCGACTGTCGCAATGCGCTTTGCCCACGCACCGCCAGCTGCCCTTGGTCCGGCTGCTCATCTGGCGCGCGTTTTTCATGGCTACTTGAGGAGGTGGTCCGCGCTCAAGCTCCCCCAGCTTGCAAGCGACAGCAGCGGTGGAGCCAAACCACGCACCAACGCTGCCAGCTCCACCAAGCTACCCGGGGAGCAGCACGGCAGCTTGCGCTATTGGCAGCCTGTTGCCCTCGCCTTTTGCTATTTTTTCCTTGACACGATCACAAAAAAACAACCATCAACATGACGCGCAACATAGCTGACACAGCATCCAGTCCTCAACACCGAGCTCCGTACTGGTCTCACCACCACTGAGGTTGAGTCCCGTCGCAAGCGCTATGGCTTCAACGAGATTTCGTCTGAGAAGACCAATCTTCTCAAGCAGTTCATCGGTTACTTCACTGGTCCTATTCTATATGGTAAGCATCCCGACACAAGACGCAACGCTGCGCACGAGCTAACGCAATGCAGTCATGGAGCTCGCTGCCCTTCTCGCTGCCGGTCTCCAGGATTGGATCGATTTTGGTGTTATTTGCGGTATCTTGTTGCTCAACGCTATTGTCGGTTGGTACCAGGAGAAGCAGGCTGCTGATGTTGTCGCTTCGCTCAAGGGTGACATTGCCATGAAGGCAACTGTCGTTCGTGACAACCAGCAGCAGACCATTCTTGCTCGAGAGCTGGTTCCTGGTGACATTGTCGTCGTAGAGGAGGGTCAAACTGTCCCCGGTGATGTCCGTCTTATCTGCGGCTACGATCACCCCGAAGACTTCGAGTTGTACATGAAACTCAAGGCCGAGGACAAGTTCCACGACGGCGACCCAGAGGACGAAAAGGATGACGAGATTGACGAGGAGAAGTTCGACGAGGAGAACCCCATCACTCAGGGCCACCCTCTTGTTGCCTGCGATCAATCGTCCATCACTGGTGAATCCCTCGCTGTCGATAAGTACATGGGAGAAGTCGCTTACTACACCACTGGTTGCAAGCGTGGCAAGGCCTACGGTATCGTCATCACCACTGCCAAGCACTCCTTCGTTGGACGTACTGCCTCTCTTGTGCAGGGTGCTCAGGATCAGGGTCACTTCAAGGCTATCATGAACTCCATCGGCACGGCGCTCCTTGTCTTGGTCATGTTCTTCATCTTGCTCGCCTGGATCGGTGGTTTCTTCCGCAACATTCCCATCTCCAAGGCTCGTGAAGGAACTGACAAGTCCGTCACCCTGCTCCACTACGCCTTGATCATGTTCATTGTCGGTGTCCCTGTCGGTCTGCCTGTTGTCACCACCACAACTCTCGCTGTCGGTGCTGCTTACCTCGCTGAGCAAAAGGCCATTGTTCAGAAGCTCACTGCCATCGAGTCCCTCGCTGGTGTTGACGTGCTCTGCTCTGACAAGACCGGAACTCTTACCGCTAACCAGCTGTCTCTCCGTGAGCCCTACGTCGCTGAGGGCCAGGATGTCAACTGGATGATGGCTGTTGCTGCTCTCGCTTCTTCGCACAATCTCAAGTCGCTTGACCCAATTGACAAGGTCACCATCCTCACCATCCGTCGTTATCCCAAGGCGCGTGAGATCCTCAACATGGGCTGGAAGACTGAGAAGTTCACACCCTTTGACCCCGTCTCCAAGCGCATTACTGCTGTCTGCCATATGGGTGGTGACAAGTACGTCTGTGCTAAGGGTGCCCCCAAGGCTATTGTCAACCTTGCCAACTGCGACGAGATCACCGCTACCCTCTACAAGGAGAAGGCCGCCGAGTTCGCTCGTCGTGGTTTCCGTTCCCTCGGTGTCGCGTACCAGAAGAATGATGGTGACTGGATCCTTCTCGGTCTCTTGTCCATGTTCGACCCTCCTCGCGAGGACACCGCCCAGACCATCGTTGAGGCTCAGCAGCTCGGTGTGCCTGTCAAGATGTTGACGTAAGTTTTCATGACTCATTTATCTTCTCTTCAGATAGCTGACATGCGCATAGTGGTGACGCCATCGCCATTGCTAAGGAGACATGCAAGATGCTTGCTCTCGGTACCAAGGTCTACAACTCCTCTAAGCTCATTCACGGTGGTCTCACGGGTACTACCCAGCACGATCTCGTCGAGCGCGCAGACGGTTTCGCCGAAGTCTTCCCCGAACACAAGTACCAGGTCGTCGAGATGTTGCAACAGCGTGGTCACTTGACCGCCATGACTGGTGACGGTGTCAATGACGCTCCTTCCCTGAAGAAGTCTGACTGCGGTATTGCTGTCGAAGGATCCACCGAGGCTGCTCAGGCTGCCGCCGATATCGTCTTCCTCGCCCCCGGTCTGTCCACGATTGTCTTGGCCATCAAGACTGCTCGCCAGATTTTCCAGCGCATGAAGGCATACATTCAGTACCGTATCGCGCTCTGCTTGCACTTGGAAGTCTACCTCGTCACCTCGATGATCATCCTCAACGAGACCATCCGTGCCGAGCTCATTGTCTTCCTTGCCCTCTTCGCAGATTTGGCCACTGTTGCCGTCGCGTATGACAATGCTCACTCTGAACCCCGCCCCGTCGAATGGCAGTTGCCCAAGATCTGGCTGATTTCCGTCGTCCTCGGTCTTCTCCTCGCTCTCGGCACATGGGTCATCCGTGGCGCTCTCTTCCTCCCCAACGGTGGTATCATCCAGAACTTTGGTGCCATTCAGCCCATCCTCTTCCTCGAGGTAGCCCTGACCGAAAATTGGCTCATCTTCGTGACCCGTGGTGGAAAGACATTCCCCTCGTTTCAGCTCATCATCGCCATTCTCGGTGTCGACGCTCTTGCCACCATCTTCACTGTGTTTGGATGGATGTCTGGCGAGCCATACCAGACCAACCCCCCTACGAACAACACCAAGTTCCGTGACAATGGCTGGGTCGACATTGTTACCGTTGTTGTTATCTGGGCTTACTCTATTGGTGTCACCATCATCATTGCTATTGTCTACTACCTGCTCAACCGCATCGCATGGCTGGATACGCTCGGCCGCAAGGACCGTAGCCGCAAGAATCCTGCGATTGAGAACATGATTGCTGCTCTCAGTAAGTTGTCTCTCGAGCACGGAACGGACAAGAACGGAACCACGCGTTATGTCCTTGCTCCGCGTGCTGTTGAGGAGGAGGATGATGAGTAAATGTTGCATGGATTAGATGAGAAGTAAATGTGTAGTTGTTGGATATCCGTAGGGTCTGATGAACCCACCTTGTACGCAAGGTTAATTTTCCATCGCTGTCTTTTGCCAGTCTTGATGTATACCAGAAGCATTAAATTTCGTCACCTTAATCAACAACCGTCCCTCTATCCCATCTGTGCATGATTTGCGTCTAAACGATCAACTGGGAGGGCAGCAAAAGATGATGCAAATGCTAGGTTTGTCTATCTTGCACATGATTCGCTTTCTCTTTTCGTGTTTGGCACGGCAATGTCTGCTGTCTACACCTGATCCTTTTCACGCATTCGAGATGTACGTAGTCTTATCGCTGCTACAAGAGCAGCCGTGTGTATCCGAGTTTGTTTCTCTCGGCTCTTCGGCCAGATTCGCGGTCGATGGGTTTGCGCGGGTTGCGCCGCATGCTTGCCCCCGCTGCACCTAAGGTTTCTTTCCATACAACGTTTATTGCAGTCACAAAACGTGTCTTTGTTCTGTTCAGACCTTACCGATCAGATGGGAGTAGAGGAGCTGGAGCTGGGAGTCGGTTGAAAGCACACAGTGATGACCTAGGCATCAGACAAAAGCATGGAGACAACTAAGATGCTACAGGGCTGGAAAGCGGGGTAGCTTGGAGAGCTCAGGGAGCTGCTGCATTTGCATATGCACATGCATAATGTATGCATGCCCATCAACCAATTGGCCAATCACAGATGAGGACAAGTTGGAGCTTGCCATGTCGCCGTTCCTGTGCTTTTGGGCGCGATGGCGGCGTGACTACATCATTAGCATCGGTAGGTAAGCGGATACATTGTGATGGCCGATGGGGTTTTGAGGATAGAGGCATGAGGATAGAGGCTTGATTTTGCTACATCCATCCACCATAAGAAGGGATGCCCATGTTTGGTCTACTACATGCTTGACGATGATCAAAGGGTGCATGTATGCATCCATCATCGTTTTCTTGCCATCTTGTCTTGTTAACCGTCCACGGGAATAAACGTATAGCACAATTCAACTAGCAAATCCCGTGGCTTGGAGTCGTGATACTCGTTGGTTTCCGAACCGCAGTACCCGAATTGGGGAGACTTGGAGATCTCTCTCTTTCTCTCTCGCAACGTCTGGCCTGAATTCATTCACGAAAGGGCGAAACGGACACGTTGCCTGGACAAACAGACATTGGCAAGGGCTGAGCAGGAGTTATCTCTGCATGGTATTTGCGGGTGCGATACCTTCAATCCAATCTGGCTTTCTCATTGGATTGGCGCGACAGGGAAGAGGGACAGTTCGCCGAGATTGGCGGCGAAGAACACCGTAATTCAAAGTTTTTTCTTCTTCATGCGACAATGCGTTGACTGGGCACTATTGACAATTGCTTCAGTGTAGGTGATTGGCCAATCGTATATACATAGTACCTACCTACTAGTGCATCGTTTGTTGCTACAGGGTTTTGGAAAACAGTTCATGCTGGCTAGCATATTTCGTGGGTGAATGAGACCGACCGGAAATATGGTTGACTGCTGGCGTAGGGTACTGCCGGTCTACAATGCACCGCGCAATCAAACACGTCGTTCTGACGATCGCCCTCCCCCCCACGCTACCAACCTCCCCAATTTCACATCATGCACCCTCCATCTATCATTATGAGATTACAAATCAGGCTACCTTAGCCGATCTGTCAGTCAGACAGAGTGGGAGGAAGAATACTTGACTAGTCATCACTCACAAGGACTGCATGCCACGTCGTCACATTGTCAAGTCAAATATATACGAACATGGATTTGCAAAGTTCTTGACCTTCTCTATACCAATTTGGGGACTGATAGCATTTTGCAAATCGCATCAAGATCGAGGATATCAGATGAGGTTATTGCATGCCCTGCATATTTTCTCATCAAAACTAAGTATACACTGGCGTTGGAATCCCAGCAAAGGGCTCCATAGTGCCAGTGTGAAGTGCTTCCAATCCTGGAGTAAAGATGTCATCCCAATCAATTCCTAGACCAAAGGTATCATATGTCGAGTCATCCCATGTTACAGGCGTGAATACAACGGGTGGCTGAGTACACTGTTCCGCTGGGCTACACGATACATCGGTAGGCTGATTAACAGTAAAGTTATCCGGATTTGGCCTATATCCCAGTGTCGGCAGTTGGTGAGTAAACAATGGTGGTGGACAATGGACTGGTTGCGTATGTGCTGGAGTCGCATGCCCCGAGGATGACGTTGTCGATAACATACTTAAAGTGGAGCCAATGCTTCCACGTCGTTCAGGAATTTGCACGTCGGCAGCAAAAGTATCAACTCTTAGAAGATCTTCTTCACAATTGCGAATGATCTGTGCTACCCGCTGCAGGAGCCGCTGCTCCACTGGACCTGGCATTTGCTCAGCTTCAGCAAAAAGCTCAGCTTGCACTCTTCGAAGCAAATTTCGACGAAATCGCCGTGATGACTCGCTGGGAGAGTCACAGTCGTAGACTAATGCCCGTTAGCATATCGATCAAGCACACCTACTCCTACAAGTTACTCACAAGGTGATGGTATGTCACCATCGACCACATCCGGAAACAGTACATGATACACATCCCGCCACTTGTCCTCTTCTAATCGAAAAGCAGTCGTGCGCTTCCGCAGAGTCCACACAGTCTCTCTGTCGATACCATCCATCTGTTGCGGCGCTGATCTTTGGCATTGTTGTAAGCGCACATGGTTTAACTGTTCCTTGTCCGACTTGAAAGTCGAGTAGCATATCGGGCAGAAAATAGGCTGAGCATGTGATCTGTACAAATGTTCCTTCATCCTATGAACGGTTGGCCATCCAGGTCCAGGGCACGTTCGCCTGTTACGATACTGATCGGGAGCGTGCTTGTAGAAGGGGCACGCAAATTTGACACCCATTTCCGAACAATTGCTCATAATCCTAGCAGAAATACCGCGGCGTTTGTGTGGTTGATCATCATCATCATCATCATCAGGTGGCAGGCTACCTTCAGGATGATACTTGCGCTTATGCTCGGAGCTCTGTGATGCTTTGTGGCTACTCTGCTGAGAAACCAAGCCAGGTGCAACTCGTTGGACTGATGTGGTTCTATTCGTGCAATGCCTGTAAGCAGCTTGACACAATTTGGCCTCCACCTTACGGAGGATCAAGTGGATGATCTTCGCGGTAGCCCGAGGTCTGAAGAGCTGCATAGGAATGGAACTATGCTCCTGCTCATCATCACTAATATCTGTGCTCGTATAAATCTCACAGCTGCTCGTCGATGAAAGCGATGCGATTGAGGATACCCGCTCTTTGGGTCGGTCCCGTGAAGGCAGATTCTCTCTGACCCACTTCTCGATACCTTGGTCGTGGACCGTGACGTTGCCATCAGACTCAGGTTGAGGCAAACATGCCTGCATGGATTCGCTCTCGAAGAGATTGGAAAGGAAAGCAGGTCGCCTCTGGCATATTGTGGTGCACAATGAAGCAGGATTGCTTGTTATGGACGCACTATGCATTTGCTTCGAACCCTCAACATTGATGGACCTCTTTATCGTCGACGACAAGTAATTGATAACGACGTGAGGTATTGGCGGATTAGTTTCACAGAACCGGTCTAAGAATTCGTCAGTGAGCCCTGTCTTTAGCCTGAGCCGGTGAAGTTCTACCCTGTCCAAACCCAGGTAGATCGAGCGGCGAAAGAGCTTCGAGATCGCTATTGTATCCAGAATCCCGAGTCTTTGACGATGAGAGCGAGTCTCGTCTACATAAAACTCTTGAGGTGCTTAGCCTGGGCAATTCGGCATGCGAATATTGGCCAATGGTCATGGCATCCATTACGCAGAGTAGTCAAACAGAAGCGCTGGTGTTTTTGCAGGTGAACTAGAAACGAAGCACACAATGAAGAAGAATAAGTCGTGAGACTGAAGAGATGCACAGTGCAATGGTCCGTGGTTGTCTGGACCGCCATTATAAGTATTCAGCCCTACTGCGCATTCGCGCAAAGGTCAGAGTCATTGAGGGAGCTGACGATTGCTGCAGACTCGGCATCAGCCGACGGGCCAGACACATAATTGTCGCTGTCCACTCATGGGCCAGGATCGCGCGTCAGGCAACAGTGTTGTTACCCAAACAGGGCAGACGATGGGGCCATTGGCATAAGATGTGCTCAATTCCGGTCAAGATGCCAGCGAATAGTTTGGTGGGAGGATGAACGGGAGCCAGCCGGAGATGCGACTGATGTTGGTGAAGGGACAACAACGCCTTGATCATCACACGATTTCCAGTATTTACCCTCAGCGGTGCTCGATCATAACAAGGTTCGCATTGTATATGATTGAATGTGTTACCCGCGAACCCGTTAATAAAAAGACTACATGGGAGAAGACTACGTGCACATAGCCTTGAATCGACCCTGACCCAATGGGAAGGTGCCATAGTTGCCGGAAAGTCCATGTTCTGGTTGAGTACCGGTATTGCTTGTCACACTCTCTCGCAATCCTATGCAGTCCGACTGCAATATTCATTTGATCCTATTCAATGGTTCCAGATTTCTGCGTGAAAACATCTTCTCAGCAAGGTTATTGTGCATATCCACGATGGTGTTGTCATTTTCGAGTATGCAGTACAGTACTAGTCGGAAAGTTTTACCCGCGAAGGGTTTCTCTTACAAATCTACACTAAAATAGCCATTTTTTTAAATAGCTATTACTCTATTAGGTTCTATTAGATATACTCTAAATTAAAACTTGTTTTATATATAATTATATAGAGTATACTTCTATTAACTAGAATTTCTAGTGAGGTTAATATTAGTTAGTACGTTAGTAGGCGCAGCGTAGAAAGATTTTAGTGTAAAAAAAAGATAAATTCTATGCTGTTTATATATAAATGAAGTAAAAATTAAGAGAAACTAGTTCTTAAAAACTTTACTAGCGCCCTATACCTCTAAATAACTATTATTTATATTCTATAATGTAAACTTTATTGTCTATACTTATTCCCTTTCTAGACCTATTCTTAAGCTATTATAATACATAGGGGTGGCTCTATAACTATAGAATAGTAGAGGTTTTTGGTGTGTTTTAGCTACCGGGTAAAACTTTCCGATGGTAACTGTAGCATGTGCAAAGTATGCTCATTCATACCTTGCTAGAGCGTCACTCGCCACTGTGCAGGTTCACGGTTAGTTGGTGTATATAAATGATGTAAAACGAAAAATGCAATTTGTGCAGTCGTCCGTAGAGCGCACTGCGAAACTCCAGACTCCAACACATATCATAATCCCGTAATGTTCCCTTATCAGATTCCTTCCAAGTCGCAATGGCAATCAAAGACCATCGACAGAGTAAGCCCCCCACTTCGTCTATACACGAGGCTCGCGCATACTATTCCTGTTTCCCATCACTGTTGTCGGGCCACTGGCTTACGCAGACCTAAGGAACCTAAGTACTCCATCCCCTTGGAACTCAGCATGATATAGTCGACGGGATGTAGGGGAAAGCCTACCTATTACCTCTTCTTCCGGGCAGTGGAGGCGGGACTAGAGGGTTGCCATATGCATCCGTGTGGAGTGCGGCGCGGCAATCAGGGCAGTACCATTTCGCGCGGCGTGAGGGTATATCTTCTTCAGTCATGTTCATACAAGGGAGATGGAACCATTCCTTGTCGCACTGCAGACTGTCAGCATTCAATGCATTTTGGAAGGTAAGAATGGGCAGCAGCTTACGTTGTTATCGCACGATATCATGGCACCATAACTAACATCGTCGCAGATGCAATACTTCGGCTCATCGGGATCAATGTCGTCAACCTGTTCCGTCTCCTCTTCGGTCTTTCTTTTCTTCTTATTCTTGCTACCTTGAGCGCGCTTGACGTTCGTCACAGTCTTTTGTCCGTGTTCAGCAGCAGTGACCTCGCCTTTCGGGGGCGGTTTCCTGCGTGAACTAGTGCGCGTTCCCTGCGGATTTTCAGCAATGGCAGACTGACTGAAGATACTGTGACGGCGTGTCTCACGCGTCACGCGGCTGAGTTCCATTGGTTTTGGCTCCTCGCTCTGAGCTTTGGGTGTGGGAACATGACCACGGGCAGAACGAGGACGAAGGGCTGGGGTAGGAGCCTCGGGTACCCCCTCAGGTCCTGGAGTAGAGGCCTTGGATGTTTTCATTGGAAGTGCTACAATCTCTGACGGGCTAAGAACTTTGGGTGCAACAGACTCGCGTCGTGGTCTAGAAGACGCTGCTGTGGCTGCGGGTGCCGGAGCAATCACCGAGGCTGATGCCGCCGAGATCGTAGAGCTTTCACCCGCTGTTGGAAATTCTGCACCAGGGGTTGGCTGCCTACTAGACTGTCTCGGAGCAGCCTTGTTGACCTTTGGGGTGCTTGGCCCGGCTGGCGCAAGGGGTACCTGAACACTTGTGGGTATGGAGGCCTTGGCCAGTTCTGGTAAGGGAATGTGTGTGTGGGCTACGGGCGAGGGCGCAACGGATGCGTGACTTCCTCTCGGAGTAGAGACAGCAGATGGGATAGGGGCAGGAGACGTGATGGAATCGGGCACAGAGCTATGTAGCTGAGACTTGACACGCTTAGGTTCTGGTGGCCGCGCTGTACTATCCTGCGTCGCAACCGAGTTTTCTCTTGTGAGCTCAGCATCTTCATCAGCAGGTGGCTGAGAAGCATCGCGTTTTCGTTTGGTGCCAGACCGAGGAGCTGTGCGCTTTTTTTGAGAGGAAGTAGCTACAGCATGAGGGCCAAAGGTCAGCTCTTTCAGGCCATTTGCAGCTTCTTTGATTTTCTCGGTCGCGTCGACAAGCTCTTGCGCATCACGCATCGCTTGCTGACGCTGCGAAAGACGATCTAACATCCTACCTTCTTTGGCCTCTACTGGCTTGAGGCGGATGCTGACAGTACCAATTTCCTCCCTTGGCTCATCCTCCATCGGCTCACTAGGCGCTGGTGGGCTCTCTGCGGCAGGACCATGCGGTGCCAATTGGCCAAGACCAGAGGCAGTCATGATTTGCTGCAAAGTCTCAGGCTCTTCGTCGAGTATTTCCACCCCTGCAGCTTCACACCGCGCCTTTTCGTTGTCGTAGTCGGCTTGGGTGCGGTGCTTCCGTTCAAGTTCGCGGGTGACCATGGTCATGCTGGGGGTCCATACTGCGTTCTTCTTCATCTGTTTCCTAAGTACAGCCATTTCATATTCCGTGAGCTTTCCCCAAGGAGCCCATTTGCTACCGGGAAGGGCATCGGGTGGTGGCGGTGCGAGCTGGGCAAGTGCGTTACTGGTGGAGATGCCTGCGATGGAGCTGTGTACATTGGTGCCCAGTACACCAGGAGGCCGCGGCCGGGTCGACTTGTGCTGGCGATCTCTCTCTCTGTCCCTGCGCTTTTTAGGCGGTGGCACCACATGGATGTTGTCCGAATCGGAGCCGGAAGAGGCGCTGTGTCTCCTGAAGCGCGCACGCGGAACCGGCACGGCAGACTTCTTATGGCGTTCGCGCGGCCGCGACGTGTTGGTGCCATGGCGACCAGGGTCGAAGGTCAGGCGCAGGTGCGGGGGTCGTTCGTAGCTGCGGTTCAGCTGTCGGTGGGCGGTGGGCGACACGGGCGGCGGCGTGGGATCACGCGATGGAGGCTCTGGCTGGGCCTGGAGCTTCTTCTTGATCACCGTCGAGCGCTGGCAGTGGCGCACCGTGACCTCGTACAGACGAGAGGCCTCTGTGTAGGCGTATTCGCGCTGATCTATAGCCTTTTTCAGGTGCTGGGCAATCTGTCTGCGCAGGACCACCGGATCGGGGCGCTCATGCTCGGGGAGCGAGGGCAGCTTGCCATACAGCGCTGTGAGCTCATGGACCCTTTGCACGGCGTCGCGCGAAGTCGAGTCGAGGTCGGTGATTAGCGTCAGGGAGCGCTGCAGGTCCGAGGGGAAGAACTCTGTGTAGTCGAGGAAGTCGTTGACCGTCGTCTGGGCGTCTGGATTGGGCGCAGCAACGGTCGTCTCAGGCGCATCGTCGGCGTCAGACATGGCGCATCGCGGGGAGGCAGAGTGGTGAGAGGCGGCGGATGCGCGCGTCAGACTCTCCAGCCACGCGTCGATGGAGTGGGAGAGGAGAATCAGGGCGGCTTCGAGAGCAAGAGATGCGATAGGGCGTAGACGGCGATGGTGGTGGGGAGGGTGGGGAGGGTGGATGGTAGGGCGGAAGAAGGGGGGGAGTCGTTTGGTCGTCTGGGCCAGGCACGTAGTATCAATACATAGCGGTACTCATGCGCTCGGAGAGTTTGAGTATCATGTGATCTGCCACTGCTACATCCTGGCTATTTTCATCGCACAAGACAAGTAACGTGATCCTCAAACTAGCCGGAGATCACTAGTATATGTCGTGGCGCAACGACGCTAGTCCTGCTTTTGGGCCCCCAAGTCGATCTTGTCAGCAACACCCGCCACACATCTGCCACGCATCCGCCACAACCACCAACCGCCAGCTATCCATCAACACATGCGTACTTTTTCATAATCATCCACACCTACATGCCCTAAGCCCACTGGCTTCATCTGCCATAGCTATATTGGCTTGCAGATTGCCACTGATCATCGTCCTCTGTTCAGCAAAGTCATCACCTCGCACCGACCTGATTGATGACACACACTCTGCATTCACAGCCTTGATTTTCAGGCGCAGGGTTTGTCTAATTCATGTTCACGTAATTATTTAGATATCTGAGGTACGTCTGGCCCATGCATCGTACGGGGTCCACATATCTCACCCGCAAGCTCTCGGACATAATGCACTCTCGCTTCACCTTGACATACATACATACACTTCTCTCAGATCAAGATTAGATATGAGGGGCCCCCTCACCTGCCGTTTGTCTCCTTTGCCGCTGCCTCTTTTGTTTGCGATCGCTAGACCAAGTTCGTCCACTCTTCTGCCCCTTGCTCCCTCTCCATCCTTTTGTTCTTCACGACCATCACATATTATGGCCTTGTCAACGCGTCTTGAGCGTCTGAGAAAGCTGGTACAGGAAGATGTCCATGCCCTGCCCAAAAAATCTGCTCCCTTGGTCCCAGGACCTGCTAGCGATGAGCATGGCGGTCTGGCGCTGGAACCTGAGCAATCACAAGCTCCATGGCTTCCGGACTCTAGCAAACGGGTTGTTGCTACAGATGAGGCTGACTGCTCAGCCAAGCCAGCCGTCAAACCCACCATCTCTGACGACAAGCCTGACCGCCGCTTCGTCTGGCTACAAGACGCCCAAAGCTCCTACAATCCAAACTCGACCTCCATGCCACCGGCCTCACTACCGCAGCCTACCAAAATATCGACTACCCACCTACACCGAGGTGATCTAGTCTCTCCTCGATATCACTTCACGCCCATCCAGGCATTGGCTAAGTATCCTTACAAGTTTTGCAGTCGAGATACCTCACAGGGAATTGCCTCGGCCTTCTTCGACCAAGGCAAATTCTGGGAACGTGAATGGGAACTGTAAGTCCAGGTAATCCGCCAAAGTCCTGTACATTGTCTCACTTTACCGCAGCTACTACGTCTGGGACATCGAACCTGGCGCCAAGCCCGTCGTCCTTGTTCGCGAGAGCCAAGTGCACACCTTACTCAGTGAGATCAACTGCCACCTGAAACTCGCTCTCAGAATCACCGATCAGCAACGTGAGGAGGGCCTCGTTGCTCACTTTCCAGACCATCCACGTTGTCTTCCTCGATATCTCGGACGCTCACAATCACGTGGAGAATACGACAACATGGTTGACAACATCCCCAGCCACAGTCATCGTGCTGAGGGTGAATCTTCCCATCCGCCGCTTGAGCCATCCACCCACGAGCTTTTCAGGCAGCTCATGGATGACTTGTACGAAGTGCAAAAGGCCAAGAATAAGATATCAAAGGCGAAGAAGCAGCAAGACCGGCTAGGGAAGCAAAAGGCCATGACGGACCACTTCAAGCGTGCACAACGATACTTGGGGCTGCGAGCAAACCGTGAAGCCGAAAAAAATTCCTCCAGCGAACATCTGGTTGTGAATGTAGCCAAACCAGTTCCCTTTGTGTTTGATCAGTCAGTGGTCTTTGTCTGCGTTGATGTCGAGTCATACGAGCATGCTCATCACAAAATTACGGAAGTTGGCATCGCTACACTCGACACTCGCGACTTGGCCGGCATCGAACCTGGCGTCGATGGTAAGCAGTGGAGCAAGAGGATACGTGCTCGCCATTTTCGTATCAACGAACATCGTCACCTGGTCAATGGCTCCTTTGTTAGCGGATACCCGGACAAGTTCAAATTTGGAGAATCCACTTTTATACCTCTCAAGGAAGCTGCGCAACACATTGCCGACTGCTTCTCTACACCATTCGGCGCACATTCTTCTAATGGTGCTGGAAGCGCATACACCTTGATACCTTCAAAATTTGATGTCGAAGAGAAACGTAATCTCATCTTCCTCGGCCACGACACCTCCGGTGACATTCAGTACTTGCAGAAGTTGGGATACGATGCGACTAAAGTAGATAACATCATCGAGGCGCTCGATACAGCCGTCATGTATCAAGTTTGGCGCCGTGAGTCTCAGCCGACCCGGTTGACCAAGATCCTGGACTCGTTCGATCTGGATGGCTTTTACGCTCACAATGCCGGTAACGATGCCGTCTTTACCGTTCAAGCCATGCTTGCGATTTGCGTCCGCGAGGCTACTCTTCGAGGTTCTTCTTCGCTTGATGAATACCGCAATAAAGTGGCTGCAGCAAGGCTTGTAATCGCCGTAGAAGAAGCGCACGAGAGGATCAAGAGTGAGGAAGACGGCTGGAATCAGCTCGAAGTTGAAGGTGATGGTGGCGGGCCTATTCCACTAATGCCGAGTAACGTACCTAGCTCAGGCCCAACGCATAACATCTCGCGAGCTGCTCCCAATATGGTCCGTGGTCGAGACGTAGGCCGCGGTAATACCTCAAGAGGCCGCGGAGCTACGGCTTCACAGCACAATGGAAACCAATACATGGCCTCGCACAGATCCCGTGGGGGAACTGGTCGTGGTCAGCTAGATGGCAGTGGTCGGCACGCACGCACGCGCGCACGTGAACGAGGCAATTCGAACGCTGTTCAGCCGTCAAACACCCAGGGGAATCTTCAAGTACGCTATTCCGACCTTATCTAGTGATCAGGTACTGACTGGGCTTGGTAGGCGCACTACTACTGGTAATACCCACGATACTTTTCTCACGAAATTACTACTATACGCTGGCAAGCTTCGTGGGCGGACGGGACGAGTTGATTTGATTCGAGGTTTTCTTTCTTTAGGAACTTACAGTGGCAATAAACACGCTAATAAGAACCTAGATGCTGCATACAGCTTATAAGATGCATAGCCATGAGAGTGATTAATGTATTGCATTTTGTACGCGTTTCTATTTTTCTATTAACGTACCTTACAGGTAAACAGTCCACACGGGTATGCGGTCTGTAACGACGCAGGTAGGTAGGAGCATCTAAAAGGGATCTAATATAACTTAAAGGTATATAGGAGTGCGCGTCTATATAGAAAAGGGATAAGATTCCTACACCTATAGGTCTTATATAAAAGGATAAGAAGAACTTGTCTATCTATCTGTAAGTATAAGGCTCCTTTTATACCTAGAGGTAGAGGGGCCTTAGACTAGAGTTAGAGCCGTATTAGAGCTAATAATATCTTAGCTAGTCTAATAAGAAAAACTAGAATAAGTGCTTGCACTTGTTACAGTTATGTTCTTTTCAAAAGTATAATAGATACACCATCTCCCTACAAAATCAAGTATCAATGGTGTCTTAAAACTTGAGCGTTGCACCAGCAGATCCAACAACAGCTTCTTTGACAGCGTCCGCAGGTAGCAATGTGACTTCGTAGGGAGCCTTGGTGAGAGTTCCCTTTGGCGCAGTGTTTTGGCTGTCTCCAAAAATGTTGCCATTGGCAACTGCAAAGCCTTCGTCAGTGCTGAACAGCGCCTTCTTCGAGCCGATGAAGACGTTGTTCTCGACAAGGACCTGAGCGCCCTGGCGGGTGTTAATGCCATCCAAGACATTCTCGTAGTAGTTGTTGAAGATATGACCGGTGCCGAATCGGAAGGACGGGCCGCGTGAGTTGATATTCTTCCAGTGGTTCTTGGCGTAGGTGACAGTCAAGTGGCCCTTGTCCTCGGCGGCGTTGTTGTCAGAATGCCCAACAAGAGAGCTCTTGTAGTGGTCATGCATGAAGCTGTCGGAGATGGTGATGAAGTCTGCAGCATGAGTTATGTCGATGAGGCCATCGTAGTAGTCCTTGTCATGGTCCTTGTCTGAGGAGAGATCGACGTGGTCGACCCAGACGTTTGAGGACTTCTGAATTCCTATAGCATCGGCACCGACGACTTTGGTGATGACAAGATTACGGATGATGACATTTTTGACGTCCTTGACACGAAGCTGAACATTGGTGAGGACGGCTGAAGAATCCTTGCCAATAACCGACTTGTTCGACCCGATGCGGACCTGCTCAGCATTTCCCTGTATAGGGCCAGTGATGAGGACAATGGCAGCATCATCACCCTTGACAGCCGCAGTCAATTCGCTCAGCGATGCAACCTCGACAGTCTTACCGCCCTTTCCACCGCTAGTGCCGTCACCCTGAGTAGCGAATCCAACTGTAGCAACATCTTCCAAAGATGCAGCACGTTTGGTGAGACAGGCACGCTTAGAGATAATCTGGGAGGGCATAGGAGCTGCCAGAGCTGAGACCGCCATGAGGCCGAGAGACACAACTGAGAACTTCATGATGATGTGATTGTGTTGAATTGGAAGCGTCAAGGTTCTCGTAAAAGGGAGGGTGGAAGTTGAAGGGAAGGACCAGAATTATGGTCAATAGAAGAATCGAAGAGCTAGGCTGCCGAACAGTCTCCATGAACGTACTCAGCTTCTTATATATGTTGCGACTGGCTGTCCATCTTGATTCCAGATTCCAACGGCTCGGTCGGTACCTGGCAGTACAATCGTGCACCGAACATGGCGTTTCACACGCCATCCCGTGGCAGCGTCCCGTCCAAAAGTGGAGACGAATTTGGTACCGCCATCCTATTTGGTGCGGCATTCCTTCTGGGCCCATATCCCATGTGTTCATGTATGGATTGATTCCGATGCGGAAGGAATATGTTTGAAACGCCTAGGCCTAATTTGGGGCCAGTTCCACCAGTTGCGTGGAAAACCGACAGGGGATATGTTTTGAAACACTACGGTGACCTCGAAACGGGGCATCGAAATTGAGGGAGTAGTGATCCTTCTTGGCGAACATGAAGCATCGGCATCTAGACAAGCTGTCGAACGGACTAAGAGTGACATTCACAGGATCCCTCCCTGCAGTGTTACGGTTGAGACATGCCAGGTTAACTGCCAGCAAACTTCAGCCAGAATACATGAATTACTGACTCGATCATTAGAATCTTAGTAGAAATGCTCTTAATTCTTAGCTTATGTGGTTGTGTATTGTTTATGACATATGTATAGGTGTAGCCGCCAGTGTAGACCAAACCATTACATGCCAAGTTCACTTACTACTTACCTTCCACTTCTGGTTATCCTGGCTCAGACTAGGTGTAGGTACATATGCAGTCATACACACCCCAGACATTCGCGCTCGCTTACAGACATTCGAACCCTTGAGTGTGAAGACACAGGGTGATTTCCCAAGAATATCCAATTATAGAGGGGTATAGGAAGCGTCAGGTGACCAGAACGGTAGAGGTGAAGCATTTGTTTGCGTCATGGCTGGCTTCGCCACAGCGATCGACCACTTGAGCAGCAAACGCGATTAGTGCCAATTGTATAGGATAAGTTCGTATGACAACAAGACAGGCAACTTAGTGGAGTTGATGGATTCTGCTTTGATGTATCATTATCCTGCTTATTAGTGATACAAGTCGTCAGCTTAGTTCTTAAGGCTGTGTCGACCCGCGGGCTGGTAAACTAGGAATTGCTATAGCTGGCAGCCCATCTAGAGGTTGAGACACAGTTATTCATGTTATAGATATGTCGAGGCAGATGTTGTGGTGCAGTTGCAAAGATGCAGTACCTGGTACAGTGAGAATTGATGGGAGTTTCACCTGGAGACATGACATCACATCGCCGAAAGCGGTAACTGACTACCGCAACTACATCGGTAGTCAGTACAGTAACACTTTTTGTCTTGCGTCTGTCCAGCACAAGAACACGGTCCCGTCACGCCCAAATCTGCATTCTTCTGCAGTCACCAGCACTCTCGACATCACAACTGCCTACCCCTATTGTTATAATCTCCCCCCTCCTGTGATCTAGCCTCGTCGCACATCTCAATCTTGCAGAATGCCACCCATTCCCATCCATAAAGACGCGCCCATCACGGCTTCCAAAGCAGACGCCGTCACACCCTCAACTGCTTCTTCGTCAAACCCAGCCCACAACGCGCCCCCAACCCGTACAACACCCGCCTCTGTCCCCGCCACAATCACTGCATCGTCCGCAAATCCTCCTTTACCCCAGCCAGGCGCCCGTCCCGCAGCACCAACAGGTTCAACATACAGTGGCGTCTACACGCCTGCACAGCCGCAGCCAGGTCCCACGCCGACTGCTACGGTAATCACAACAACAGAGACAAGAGTGAGTGGCCCTCCGCCACCACAGTTGGCACACCCTCCTCCTACCGATAGCGCACTTGCAGGCCGCTCGACAACAACGGCGACAGGCACAACGCCCCCAAAGTCCGGTCCAACTTTCCTGAACTACGGACCCGTTGCCTCGCCATTCCAACAGGCCGTTGCAGGACGAGGTGTGGCAGATACAACTGCTGGGGAGAGGGCAAGTCTCGAACATCCACCCGGTTATGTTCAGGCACCCGACAACGCGCCGTACACGGCGGGCGGAGGCATTGCCGGCCAGGCTGGGGGAGTTGGGGGACCAGGGGACCACGAGGGTGTCGGTGCCACGGCGTGGGGCATGTTAAGCAAGGCGGGGGAGGCTTTGAAGAGTGGAGAGGAGGCTGTTTGGAGGGCTGTGAAGGGAAAGTAGAATTTCACCGAGGTTTATCCTAGTGCATTGAGGGGGCAGTACGGCTCTACATCGCCTGCACAAGTGACATGGCGCCGATCATTTGTTGCCAGTAGATTGACATAGCAATGAATCTCAGACATCACGCAACATCACACAAGGCATGGCACATGAATACAGAAAAACCCAAGACTTTCTATTGACCGCATTTTCCCCAAGGCACCGAGCGATGAAAAGAGGAACACAGCCATGAAAGAGGCAAACTGACAAAGCAATGCAAGCCGAACGACTTTCGTGATACAGTGTGCTGTAGGGAAAAACCAGTTGTCGGCCATGTAAAGTACAAGGTGTTTTACCACCAGCGCGTGCTTCGCGACACCAAGAACAAACTCAATACGCCGCACGCACCTCATCTCCTCTCACCTCGCCATTAGCTGCTTCCGCCACGAGGGCTCGAATTGGGGTATCGACATTGGAAGAAAGGCGCTTAACCAGATCCGCCCTTGAACTTCTTGCCGAACAAGATGAGCTGGGCCTGGTCATAGATGGACAAGACACCGGCACCGGCAACACCACGAAGAATGTTGGCACCAGCACCCTTGAAGAGAGACTTGACACCCTCAGCAGCGACAATCTGGCGAGCAGCATCCATGGTACCCTTGTACTTGACGGCCTCACCAGAGGTCATCATCATCCGACGACGGATAGTGTCAAGAGGGTAGGAGGCAATACCGGCACCAGTGGTGACAGCCCAACCGAGAGCGAAAGAGGCCAAGAAGTTACCCTCGAGGGCACCGGTGAGCAGGACAGGCTTGATCGAGTCGTACATACCGAAGTACAGACCACGGTAAACAACGATACCACCAACGGAGGGCATGAAACCGCGGTAGAGACCGGCAATACCGTCGGAGGCGAGGGTCTTCTTGTAGACGTCAACGAGACCGTTGAACTGGCGCTCACCACCCTTCTTGGCAGACTTGGCATCGTTGGCGAGACGAGTACGGGCATAGTCGAGGGAGTAGACAAAGAGTAGGGAAGTGGCACCGGCAGCCTGTACTTGTTAGTATAGAGTATCCATGGCCTGAGGGCTTCCACTTACACCACCGGAGGCCAAGTTACCGGCCATCCACTTGGCGTAACCATCACGCTCCTTCTTGAAGGCGAACATGGACTTGTAGGTGTCACGGAACGCGAAGTTGAGCGCCTGGGTAGGGAAGTAACGAATGACGTTGGCAGTGTTACCACGCCATAGGGAGAGGACGCCCTCGTTCTTTGCGGTGCGGCTGAAGCACTCGACGATACCGTCGTACTTGCGGTCGAGACGACCGGACTTCAGCATCTCATCCTACAGTGTGTTAGGGCTGGTTCGAGAGGACGACGGGGGGTCGAGGTCGGTGGACCATACCTGGTTCTGGATGAGAAGCTTGACGCGCTCGATGGGAGCGGCTGCGGTCTTCGAGACGGCGGCGGAGACACCACCCACTGTGGAGAAGCGGTCAGTAATTGCGTCTGACACTGAACTGTCGCCGATGACTTTTGCATCGCTGTCCAATGCCCGTCAATGGCAATGGAAAGAGGATGGGAATCCATTGACTGGAGTGGTAAGACATACTCAAGAAGTCCACCAGGAAACCCTGTTTTCATGGTTAGCACATGTTGGCGGCCATGATAGTGCAAAGACCGATTGCTCGGCAACTAGGGCCACGAGCGCATGACTTGAACAAGAGCAGTTGCGTCTCAGTGCACCATCACCCCGCTGGAGGGATGGGGCGATGGATGCACAATTGGGCTTACTGCGTCTTGAAAGCTGTCTCCTCAGTCGTTGCGGCTCGTCTGAAGCGGGCCGACGGATACAAAGGAGAGGGTGTACGAACTGGCATTCCGAAAGCTGACTTGTCCTGCTGCGGGGCCGACATGATGGCGGTGTTGTTCGAGCAAGGTCTGAGTGGAGATTGATAGAGGAGGGTGATGGAGGAGGAAAGGTATTTGTACGGGAAGCCGCGACGACAAAATCTGATTTCTTGGTCAAAGCGCACTAGTCCCGTCACGTGCTAGTCTTGTTGCCCTCGGTCCCGGATGCCTCCATGAAGCGTCGGAGACGTGGATGTGCAAATTGATTCCATGTCTCTCTCTCTCTCTCTCTCTTCTGCGGTTCAACAAGTTGTCTCCAACTCGTCTAACGGAGGCACCGTGAACAGGGACGTTGTTTTGGTAGCCTGCCGCGACACGATTAATGCTTCATCTATCGTTTTCCCTTCCACCCAGGCAGGGCGGCAGCCCGTGAGGGGTTGCTGTAGCAGCCACCCACACCCACACAATGGATTAAATAATTTTTTTTTGGCCCAAACAGCACACGCACTGGACTGGCTGGCTACTCTACCACACATTGGGCAGCCTTCGCGCTCAGAGAGATACCCACATGGATCTATTCAACACCATGGAACATCGTGGGCCTGCGCAAGTGCCCAGATGCCTTCTTTAGCCTGAGCGGGTGCAAAGCCCTCCCTGTCCTCCTATCCGACTGCAATCCAAAAAGGGTCCGCAGAGCGCTTTTTTTGGGGGGGGGGGTCGGGGGGGGAGAGTCTCGGGTAATTTCGGGTAAGGAATGCTTGTTCAGGCCAACAAAACCTACGGTAACCTACCCAGCAGCAATGCCTCCTCCCCCGACTGCGAATTTTCCATCGCCTCTCCCGTGATTGGGACGGCCCATGGTTCGCCAGTCCTGGTGCTGTCGATGTTGCTCGCCTCTAGCCTTCTGGGGACTGGCGTACACTCCTCCCTCCGTTCCTATCAATCTCTTCACGTGACAACTCCAATTGGGCTAGGGGTCGCAATTTCACTACACCAATCAAGGTCACTCCAAGCAGGCCTCCCATGAAATGACAGATGGCGCAAGATCATAAACTCCAACCCAAACATCCCAATTATGCAGCTAGCGTCCGATTCGGTGGTATGTATGCATATTCACGCTTTACTGTAGCTTCTACTGTTGTATCAGCTTTCGTTGGATCATCAAGTCATACTCCACACAATCCACTCCAAACTATGACAGAGGGACTTAGATGCATTCACTGCGTCCAGACTCGCAACAGCACTACTGCTGTTCCTCGTCACCATGCATCAATCCCGACCCAAGCTTCTACCTCAGATGAGTAAAATCTGCCTCGCAAAGCGTTTCGAAGATTGGGAACGACTTCGATACTTCATATTTCTACACTCCTATCATGTATAGTCCCCTCCCATTTGTGGTCTTCCATTACTTGTCACTGCCATTCTTCTTCTAATACCGTGGAAACGCCCAACACCATGGTCATGTTCCGAGTGTCCCCCATGCTTGTCTGTGCCATAACTCCTGGCGAATACAGCTTCATCATGGCAACAGTGGTGTCAGATTTGAATGCCAGCGAATTTTCCTTGCGCTACCAAAATTTTATCCTTTTCCAAGAAAATTCTTCGTTCGGAGAACACGATCTTGGCAGGAAATGGAAAGTCGCTGGAGACAAGACTTCATCCAAAGCGGATGAGATGTACATTGCCAGCGTATGGTAACTGTCAAGTCAAGTGTTTTTACAAGGCCAAATCCATGTGTTCTTCTAATCATAAGATACTGAAGATTGTATAGGATCCTGCACATTATAGTAATTTAAAAATTCTCCATAGATGTATTGTGCTCATGTCGAAGTAAAAGCCATTGGCTAGAAAGAATTCAGATTTTCATCATCAGTGGCGCTTGACAGATTGTTTGCGAGGTGTCTCTCCTACACTCTTATAAATTCAGATCTCTCGATACCCTCTCTGGTATTGTGCAACAACTAGCAGCGTGTAAATGATGCTATATAGGGTTCTGGGCTGTCACTAATAGCGGAGAAAGTAGAGATATCGGACGAGCAGAGCAACCAGTCTGTCAATATTCGAATTTCTCCAAGTTTCTCCAGTGCAACTTGGCATTCAAACCGGAGAGGGCCGTTGTAGTAACATTTTTGTGAGAAAAGCCATCGTTACTCAAAAATCACCGAACATTTTGCACGTTTTCTATGTACATACAATATAAGCTGCGAAAGGAAATTTCTCGCATGGAACATAGCCTGGATTGCAGACGTAATGTCGCACTGGATGCCGACCAATTGCGTGGCGCTGCCGTGTAGGTGCTTGGTGATTTCTTTTTATCTTCGGCTTAGGAGCTGGTACGTATCATCACAGGCTTATCGAGTCAAACTTCGTACACGGCACGCTCTACTATCATTCGCAACAGAGCAAAACAATCATGCATTGCCCAAATGGCCTATGGAATTACTATTTAGAACTCACTATGTATTCGACTAGGCTACTGTGCGCGTGCAAGCCTTCGTCGAAGAGAGCCCGTTCATCGCTCACTCTGTTATACGAGGTGTTCTTGGGATTGTCTGATGATCAATCCCAGCTCCAGTCCTATGATTGAGTCCATCGATATTTTACCCTTTGCCTTTCTTTTCGAAGGGCCAGGCTGATATGATGGCAGCACCCAAGGTTCCTTGCCTTGCGGAGAGCGTTGCTTCTCTCTGACCGCAGTCCACATCGAAGTTAACGAAGGGAGATTGACAGCAACGATAGCGCATTGGACCTCGAAAGATGCAACAATAATCACTCTTGCTATGTCTGTGGAGGTGTCGGTCTTCATTGAGGTGAGTGATAGCAATAGTGGGAGTCGCAGGACAGCCACAGTAACAGACACCAGACCGAAGCCAAGTACGAAAAGGATAGTAGCCTTGCGCCGAACCGCCATCTGGAGATTCCACACGATGGGGATGGGAATGCACAGGATATAAAGGTCCATGGCAATGTTCTAGCCGACGTTAGAACTTTGTGCGTCAAACACAGACATCCATCGCTACTAACCAGCACAGGCGGAGTAAATGTGACAGTGCGTGCATTAATACACTTGACCTCAGGAGGTAATGTCGGATGGAGAATCTTCTCGAAAGGTGTGCATTGTAATACGGTAAGCAGACTTTTATTTGTCAGCTCGAGATAGCATTTCATGCTACTGTGCCCAGATAACTCACATGTTGAAGAGAATTATTGCGCTATTTAGCACAAATCCAGTGTTTGTCAAAATACGAAATATCTGTTCGGAGGTGAGGCGCATGTAGAACAACAAGAACGTCAATTTAACGAGAAAGTGGCCTCCAAAGATGACAAGGTCTTCGATGAAGGAAATCTGTCAGAGTGATCAGTAAGCACCCATCTCACAGAGCCCAGGATAGACTAACGCGACGCAAATCCAGCGATTGAAAAGTGCAGTTCACGTTGTCAGGTCTACGCCTGAGGTTAGTTTCGTAACGATCGTTGCGCGTGGGCTATGATACGTACTTGCCACATCCCTGATTTAGCAAGAATTGCAAGACGACCTGATGTGTGATATTGAACAGCTATAGAACTGAGCAGAGTGCGACATAACTTCGCTAGTAGAGTGACTCACTAATACTGCACATGAAGCCATGTCATCCCAACCCCACAACTTTACAACCAACGCGCGCGAATAGCATCGCACTATAGATGAGGCGATGCCCAAGGCAAAGGTGAAATAAGTAATGGCGTATGTCAGTTCATATAGTCCATTAGCCATTCTCGGAGCGCACAGGCTCAAGGGTAAACAAAGGATACCTATATGCCTGTGCGAGTGTGTCGCGATGCTCATTCTATCGAGCGTTCGCTCCCTCTATGGGCTGAAAATGATTGGTACGAAGGGAACTCTAAGTCTTTACTCGCAGTATACTACCTAGGCATTTGTTTATAATAGGTAGGGTATTGAATATAGATCTGCATCCGATAGTCACTAGAAGACTCGCTACAAGGGGGCTTGTCCCTGCGATTACCGGTAGTCGTGTCGGACCGTTTGTAACGTGATCCACCACCGAGCGCCCACCCCCACCGAGCGCCCACCAACACCAAAATCCACCACCCACTAAATGAGGATATTGCGCCACCCACAATAGCTATTATTATAAGATTTCTTAGAGTCGCGATTATTAGATCTATTAGAGTAGATTAAATATTTTAGATTATATAAGCAGCTTTTTAGGGGGTCTAATTAGGCGCCCACGCTATAAAGTTGCCTCTACTACTATATCCTCTTCTACTAGCTCCTTATTAACTACCTTAGCTAGTATAATAGTAGGAGGCTTAAGGATTTACCTCTTACCTATTTAGGATATTTTAATATTATTTTAGAGTTACTTTTCTAGTTACTTAGTAGTTTTCTACTTATTATATATAGTAGCTTTTTAGGTAGCTTTCTTCTCCTACTCCTTCTTAATAATTACTTAATTTAGGTAACGCTCCTCTATAAGTTAAGCTTTAGCAAGCTTCTATTACTTATAAAGCTTAATTACCTTACTTTTTTAGTATTATAGCTCCTATTCTTTAAGGTTCTTTTACTTCTAGAGCTTAAACACTTGCTCTACCTTTAATAGTAAAATAAATTAGGCACTACTACTATAATTATTATTAGGGAGTAATAATAGAGGTTTACTACACTTCCTACACTTCTTCTTATTAGCTAGGGTAGCCCTTAGGTGTTTATTTTTATAGTTAAGTAGAGTATTTCTTACTAATATAGTATAGATTATCTAGCTAAGCTTCTTTAACTATTTATTATAGATATTAATTATAGTATTATAGAGTAACTACTCTATCTTTCTCTAATTACTTACACTTAATATTAAGGTTATACTATTACTTAAAGAAGGCTAGTTACTATTATTTATAGGTGCTTTAAACCTTAAAAGGATAATATTAAGGTTAAGTAGTAAGATACCTATTGCTTTAAAAGCTATTAATATTAGCTTTTCCTTAAAGGTATTGCTCTATATAGCATTAAATAACTAGTAGAAATCCCTCTTAGTAATACTTATAAGCCCTTAGGAGCTATCTAGAAAACTAGATAGTTAAGCTTTATATAAAGCTATAAAGGGAGCAAATACTATAATATTAAGTAGCTAAAGGGTATAAGTGCTATAAGGGGGATATATTATAAGTAGGATCTTATATTTATTATAGTACTTAATAAACTCTATTATTATATAAGATCTATAGCTATTAAGGATAAGGAGCTAGTATAAAGTATAAGCTTTAGCTTTTGTCTTGCAATTAAACACCTCCTTAAGCTAGGATACCCCTAGGGTGTAGCTTATCTACCTACTTAGTAATCCTATAAAGAAAGCTTAGTATTATAATAGGTTAAAATCTTATAACTAGGTATCCTATAGAGCTCTAGATTAGGACTAATAAATAAGGGTAGGGGTAAGAGTAGTACTATTAGCGCATATACAAGCTATAGTAGTAATCTACTCCCTATTACTATCCTAGAGTATAGCTCTAATCTTTCTCTACTTATAGGCGCTCTTATTAAATATATATTTAGTTTTTAATAGTACTCTAATAAGAAAACCCTTCTTATCTATATTATAGATATACTAACTCTTAATATTATATTACTCTATTTTTTAGTGTAAAAGCTTAAAGTATAAGCTATACTTAAAGGTAGAATTAGCTTTAAAGTAGTTATAATTAAGCCTAGTAGCCTAATAGGAGATAAGATTAATATTATAGCAGTTAATAAAGCGCTATACCTAATTTTTACCTACTAGATTCCCTATTATTTTAGTTATAAAATTTTAAATAATAGTCTATATAGGGGGTAATCCTTGCCTATAAAGCTCTTTAATATACTCTATAAGCTTGCTTTCTTGCGTAGTGTTAAGTATTTAACTATTTAGTAAAGTAGTAGTATATACCTACTAAATTTTCTAGTAGTATCTAGATAAGGTTAACTATAAGTAACTATACTTTTCTACTATTTCTAAGTATATAAAATCTTCTCTAAGAGTTAAGGATTTAATTGCTACAAGCGCGTTGTTAATAGGTGCCATGGTTGTTAAGAAATTTAGTGTTGAAAATTTGGTGATTTTGGTGTTGGTGGGCGCTCGGTGGGGGTGGGCGCTCGGTGGTGGATCACGTTACCGGTAGAGTTTCTTCGGATGGCAAAAGCGCGAAAGACGTATCCATGGTAGGTTGCAGCATATCTCGACATGGTAGAGGTGGTTTTTTTCTCTCTCGGTTCGGCAATTACCGATACCGGTACGACGTCAACGTGTAGTTGTAGGCCAAGCCTCCTGATGCCGGTGATAAGAATTTCGGAGGAAGATCCATGAACGGATCGCCAAGGCATTACTTACCGTACCCCAGGAGGCCAGATGCCATCGAATGTCTCGCACTGACAATTGGAATGTGCCGACAAGCTGACCAAATGATTCGTCTTACAATAGGTATCTACCGGGCGCGGGACATTGGATGTGGGCGGAAGGGCGGGAGACTTGTTTAGCTTCCATGAGGCGGTCCGAAAGGAGTTCATGCGTGATTATACTAGGTAACGCGATGTTGTTAGGGGATACGAACTAATAACGAAACTTTGGCTTTACTCTTGTCTGACTCGGCGTGCTGTACCAGCATGGAAACCCTATAAACGGGTGTCAGGCCGAATTCTGTGATCTATACTTAACCAGCACTACGGTAAAAAATTGTTTACTGTAGAATGGTACGCTAGGGGTTTACTATATAGGTGTAAACTGACCTCGTGTATACCTGTAAATAGGTTTAAAGTGGTGGTTTACTTTTATAGTAGGGGTTTAAATTAAGTATAAAAAGTAGTTTTATTTCTATTGTACGCTATAATACCTAGCTAAGACTAAAAGGGGTAGAGAAGATTAGCTTCACGCTATACGCATATATAATATAATAATAAGTTATAATATTTTTACTAATAGGAGGTGATGATAATAGAGGTGGTGGAGGTGGTAATAATAGAGGTGGTGGTGATAGAGGTGGTGGTAGAGGTGGTGGTAGAGGTGGTGGTAGAGATAGTGGTAGAGGTGGTGGAGGTGGTGGAGGTAGTGGAGCTGGTAGAGGTGGTGGAAAGCCA